TGATTTGAATTTGCTTGGTCTTGACTGGTTAGACAAGCTCCATTTCTTCAATGTACCATTAAATTCAGTATGCTCTAATGTTTCGTCCTCACCAAATAATGTTGTTCCCGCACATGTATCTGATCAGTCTCTCTTACAACGCCTGCGTCAAAAGCACGCTTCTGTTTTCCAGGACAAACTTGGTTGCTGCAAATTTACCAAAGTGCTTATGCAAAACCGAAGGGGGAGGGAACAACAGAAGAAATTTTGGACAGATTCTTGCTCCATCATCGTACGACGCCAAATCCCTCCGCAGCCGGAAGCCCACGACACAGATCAAACCCTATCCAGTATCACGCGAAGGTCACCTCGACAAAGAAGAGCTCCAAAACCATTTCAAATAGATCAAAAAAGCAAGTCCTACACTTTTAACGGGGGGAGGTGATAGGATCCCACACACTTGTTATTGTTCAATTATCTTAACGACTGTTAATCTCGTATAAGTTGTATATTATCATTTCTCACGCATATTGTTATTGTTCAATTATCTTAACGACTGTTAATCTCGTATATGTTGTATATCATCAAATCTCACACACTTTGCTATTGTCAATTATCTTAATGACTGTTAATCTCGCATATGTGTTATATTATCATTTCCCAGGCACTTTGTTATTGTTCAGTTATCTTAATGACTGTTAATCTCGCATATGTGGTATATCATCATTCCCACGCATTTTGTTATTGACTATTACGACCAATTATTTCTAATACTGTTAGCTGTCTCTATTGGTTGTAAAAGTGTATAAATACCATTTTCTAAATAAGTTAGTCGTCGTTGTTGTAGTCGTCGTCGTAGTCATAGTTGTTGTACTACAATACACAGTCAGAGACCAGACTTTGTCTTTTGATATTTGCGTGGTTCGCTGAATCGGAAGGTACCAGAAGCAGATAGGCGTATTAGTCAGGCGCAGACAGAACAAGGCAACAACGTTCCTCATTTTAATTCCCGCTACAGTTACAACAAATTGGCGACGCGGTTTATCTCAATCCATTGCCGTTATAACACCTTGTAACCAGAAGGTCCTGGGTTCGAATCCCGGTGGGCTCGTACTGCTAAAGAGTCCCAAACTAGGACGAAACAACTGTCCAGTACTCCCAGGTTTTCCAATGGTTCTCTAATTGATGTCAGCTCATAATGAAATCCTCCATGCGAAAAACAAATTGTTTAGTTTTCATCTGGTCCTGTTCACCCATTGGTTATAAATGTGAATAACATTCAATTTCTTTTTTATCCATCACAGGCTACAAGAACACACTGCTACTCATCCTTTAATCTAAATTTTGTAATATTGAATATTTTTGCAACTATGTTCTACCACTGGAAAATTAGTCATTATTCACATGTGTGTTGTATAAACCAGAAAGGTAATAAGTTATTGCGAAACAAACATGCTGCGCCTTCATCTTGATATCTACTTGTGAGTAGGTAGAACAGAGGTCCGGGGTTCGATCCCCGGCCGACGACGCACTCCTTTACCTCGCTAAGCGAGAAATAATACTGGTGAAGAGGAAAGGTTGGGCATGAGGCTAGCAACCCCATCCTGTAAAAATAAACACTGCTACAGAAACTTTAAGCCACTAGGTTGAAGCCCTATGTTCCACTGGGGAACGTGAAGGAAAATTAAAGAAATAAAAAAAAGGTAGAACAGAAGCTGACTAACTCTGGTTCCGAGATAGAACTTTGCACAGATGGACACCAGTTCAACTTGCCGAGCCCCACGTACCATATATGGGAGGACAAAAGAGCAAACAAGAGATTCAGAAGGACGACAATAAGTAGAAGTGTGAGGGAGAAAGAAGAGTAACAGAGAAAAACAGTAGGGTTTAATGGATAGGGAGGACCACAAAGAGTGAATATACCTCACCGCCATTGAGAACGATTCCCAGCCATATCACCCACCGTTCGTCTACATCCATTGGACTTTAGGAACCTGAGAGCCCTAAACCAGGAAGCCTAAAATCTACCTACGTGGCTCTAAGATGGCTGTCAAAATCATAGTGGACTGACTCCATGTTTTGGTTTGACTACAATTAGTTCTTTTCCAACCTAGTCCTATGTCAGTTAATATTGCTTGTCGTCATGCACGCAACACGCGTCCTAGCCATCTTAGTCAACGTAGCCTCACAGCCTCATAGATTGACTTTCCCTCTTTACCTAAATAACACTCGATGCATAACCTCAATATTGCTCACCCTATTGAATCACCTAACATGGGAGATAGAATGCAGACACCTTTGATCAAACACAGCTAATCAGCCTTTTCATGTCTTCCATTGCCAGTGGAGAAAAGCGAAAAGCAACAAGTTGGCAGAAGAAGCATCAAAGATAGGACTTCAGGTGAACATTGAGAAAACAGAGGTGATGAAGATTCCTGGACAAGAACAACAACAGACAACAATCAGCATAAATGGAAGGAACCTGAAAGAAACAACCTCTTTTACCTACCTACCTGGGAAGCATCGTTTCAACTACAGGCCGGCGGAACTGACGAGGATATAAAAGCAAGAATCGGAAAAGCAAGACAAGCTTTCACTACTCTCAAGTCTGTGTGGAGGTCAACAACACTCTGCATCAAAAATAACATCCGGATTTTCAACTCCAATGTGAAGTCAGTGCTACTCACTATACGGATCAGAGACTTGGCCAGCGCGTCATAAAGAGCATCTCAAACAAACTACAGACCTTCATCAACAGTTGTCTTCGCTCAATACTCAAGATCAGATGGCCGGCCAGAAAATATCAGCAACAGGGATCCCTGACAATGAGTGAACCAACTCAGCAGGAACCGATTGTAAAACAAATAGGCAGGAAGAAATGGAGATGGATTGGCTGGCCATACTCTGAGGAAACAATCCATCAAGTGACATCACTAGACAAGCCATTGCTCGAGTGGAACCCGAAAGGGAAGCGGTGAGTTGGTCGTCAGTGCAAGGGTGACTTGGAGGAGGTCATGTGAAGAGGAGATGAAAGCGTATGGGCAGACTTGGAGCCAGGTGAAGACTCTCGCAGAGAACCGAAGGCAATGGAGACGCACGGCTGAAGCCATATGTTCCTCTGGGAATTAAAGGAAACAATAATAATAATAATAATTGCCAGTGGCCATGTCTCACAGACATAAAGGAGGACGGCTTCATGATTTCAAAGAAAGTGTCCTAATCAGTCGATATACTTTCTCTACACTCCTTTCATGACCAAACACTGCCAAAGTACCAGTCAATCGATTGAGGCGATCAATAACAGTTTGAATTTCCTCAGGTAGTTAGTTAGTCCTTGTATTACATGTTTACAGGAATGCTGCAATCACACATCAGATTTTAAGTTTAGCTGTTGTGAATCAGTTTTATCAGCCTCTTTTATCCAGCTGGAATATCTGTTGTGGCGTTTGCTATTTATTCTATGCACGAAAATACTTGTTGACAGCTTTTACCCTCAGTCGTTGAAACACATATGTGGTGTTATATACAACAACAAAATGAGTTAGAGAATAGTTACAATTATCTTGTGTCTTATGGTTAATTTAAACTCCTCAGTCACTCAAAACATACAGACGTGACATATGAAAGACAAAATCACAAAGCCGAGATTTGAATGTAAAAGTTGCTACTGTTGTTGTTGTTATTGCAATTTTTATTCTCACCTATCAACGCATGGCTGAAGCCCTATGTTCCTCTAGGAATTAAAGGAAATAATAATAATAATAATAATAATAATAATAATAATAATAATAATAATAATATCAACTCATGGCATGACATTGGTTATTCTACAGAAAAGAAAGGTATCTTGTGTGTGTGTGTGTGTGTGTGTGTGCGTGTATGCATAACATGAAATGGATTGACGATATAAGACGTGTCACTAAGTCATTCAAAAAGACACACAATTTTGAGTGAAGTTGTATATATATATATTAGGATATAATCGTTCTATTTTATTAATAACCATAAGATTGTGCTTATTTCAGCTAATCATCTGTCTAAGTAACACATTATTCTAAATAAAGCAAGAACAACAGTTTGTATAGAATAAGATGGTACCATCATTTATTTCGTTGTCTTCTCATCACTTACTTACGATCTAAATAAATTATTGAGTTATTATTATTAATATCATTATTATTATTATTAATGCATTATCAGACCTATATCGACAACTGTCTTCGTTCTATACTGAAGATCAGATGGCCGGAAAGAATCACCAACAAGAAATTATGGGAACAAACAAAACAAGAACCAATCGCCCAACAAATATGCAGGAGAAAGTGGAAATGGATTGGACACTCGCTGAGCTGAGGAGGCCACTGGGTGACATCGCGCGTCAGGCCACAGCTCGAGTGGAACTCGAAAAGGAAGCGACGAGTGGGACGTCGGTGCAAGGGTGACATGGAGGACATCGTGTGAAGAGGAGCTGAAACAGTATGGAGTAACATGGATGCAGGTGAAAAGTACAGCAGAAGAGAGAAGCGAGTGGAGACGTGTAGTTGAAGCCCTATGTTCCACTAGGAAACCAAGGGAACAATAATAATAATAATGCATTATCACCTGTAAGAGAGTGCATCGGTGCCACAGAGGTAGAATGCTCGTCAACCACGCCTCACGTGGTCCGGTGTTCGATCTCCGGTCGACACACTCCCAAACCCCGCTAAACCAGTAATACGACTGGTAAAGAGGGAAGGTTGAGCATGAGGCTAGCAACCCCACCGCGTAAAAATAAACACCACTGCTTCTGGAACTTCATAGCTCTAGTTTGAAGCCGCCCTATGTTCCACTGGGAACGTAAAGGAATAAAATAAATCCAGGACATGCGTTCCATCAAAAAATAATAACAACAAAGTTTAAATCACAAAGGCATCACTGAAGTATCAATTCTGCTAAGAATTTATTTGTCGACAGTGAAAACAACTGCTCATAGAAACTTCCAAAATCTCAATAAATTAATCAATGATAATACTGACACTTACATTAGGCACTAATGAATCCAAATCAGGACTAGCATCAGGTCCTGAAGTGATAAAAATATTCGAATCATTAAATGATGTTGATTCTGTTGGCGTAGGAAATTTCTGTGGAATAGATGATAAATCCGGTACACAAAAGTAACCAGCCCATAGGATTCTAGGCAGTTTATTTTTGTTATTATTATTATTATCACAATTCATTGGTTCTGAGGTTACTGGTGTATCTGTACAAAAGAGAATAAAATAAAGAAAGAAAGAAATATTTATATAGCTATGCGGGGGGGGGGGGGATGTTCACATCACACCAAGATGAATATAAAATAACTTTATCGGTCGGTCGGTCGGTTTTCGACATAGAACTTTGCACCGATGTGCAGCAGTTCAAGTCGCCACACTCCCTCCGTGTAGCACACAAAGCAAGAGAAGAAAGTAGGAGAAATGCATAATATGGACAGTAAACAGAGAGGTGAGACAAAGGAATAGTAATAACGAAGAACAAAACAGTTTCATTGGAAATCATAAGTCACAAGGAGTGGATGCATCTGCGCCAGCCATTGAGAACGATTTTGAGCCATGTCACCAATTGTTTCCAACCATTGGTTTTTACCGTCCCGAGGACCCCAACCAGGAAGCCAGTCTACACCTTCCTACGTGGCTGGCTTAGACTAACTGTTGTAGATTTCATTGACTGGTCCCATGTTTTCGTTTGACCGCCGCTGGCTCTTTTCCAGCCTGACCAATCCTATGTCAGCTAACATTGCCCGTCAGTCGAGGAAGGCGATGACTAGGCATACGTAACACATGTCCCAACCATCTCAGTCGATGTAATTTCACAGTCTCGTCTATTGATTTCCCCGCCTTACCTAGCACTCGTCCCGTGCCTAACCTCAATATTGCTCACCTTATTATACCACTTCACGCGGGATATAGAACGCAGACACCCATGATCGAAGACAGCTAATCTTTCCATGTCTTCTGCTCTCAATGGCCAGGTCTCACAGCCATAGAGGAGGACGGAGCGGACTGTTGAGAAGTATACACACCCTTTGGTCGAAAGTTGGATATCGCGTCTACGCCAGAGACGGCACAAACTGGCATATGCGAAACTAGCCCTCTGTATCCGTGCTGAGATTTCGTCGGAGATCAACCCGTTGGGGCTGATGGTACTTCCCAAGTAAGTGAAGCGGTCAACGTGCTCTACCACTTCACTTCCTATTTCTAATCTAGGGGTCGGTGAAGTCCAATCCTGCAGCATCATCTTACATTTTACAGGGGCAAAATAACTATGCTAACAAAGCTATCCACACTACAGTCCTACAGGAGGTCAATCGCGAGTCCGAATAGCTCAGTGGTAACGTCTCTGACTACAACACTGGGTGACGCGGGTTCGAATCTCAGAAGGGACATGGGTTGTTCCTTCAAGGTCGCAGATACGCTTGCTGACTGGTGAGTGCCAACTAGCACGAAACCTAGGTCGAGCAAGGCTTCGTGTGGATTGCCTCCAACCATCTCATATCATCGAAAGCTATATACTGAGGTGAGAAAAACAATCAATTCAGAATTTATTAGGTTACAATGGTTTGATGGATGGTTGATTTAGTGGTAGGATACTGGCCAACAATGCACGCAATCGAAGGTTCAATAGCCCGGCTAACGCACTCACTCCTAAACCTCGTTTAACCAATAGGCAAACCCAGTAAAGAGAAAAAGCGGATGGGAGTTAGGCTAGCCAATTTCACAAGCCGTAAAAATAAACACTACTGCTACTGAAATTCCAAGCCTGAAGCCTTATTTTCCACACTGAACAGCACAAAGCAATACATGACATGTACATGACATTCGAATTGAAAATAGCTATCTAGAAAAGTTCATCAAGAAACACTTGACCATGACAGCAGAAAAGGATTATCTCTATTTGTAAATATGAAGTCTTTACATATATACGTCTGCAGTTCAAGGGGGACGCACTTAGTGAAATAATTTCTAGTAAATTAAGAAAGTCCATTCAAAGAACTTTTAATGCTCCTAAACTACAAGTTATATTTTCTACACGACCGGTTGTGATTCCTCGATTGAAAGATGAATTACCTACACTAGCTACTCCTTCTTGTATCTACCAATTCAACTGCGTTTGTGGAGCGAGTTATACTGGCCGCTGCTCTTCGCTTTAGGAACTTGATTTTTCGTGCACAGGAGCACCTACCAGTGTGGTTAAATAAAGGTGTAGTAAAAACCATCAACAGTTCGATATTAAACCATCTGGTTCGAACCGGCCACAAAGCCAGAATTGAAGAATCCTTCTCTATCACCAACTAGGTACCAAATAAATTTTCAAGAGTTGGTTTGTAAGGACTAAATTTGTTTTTACGAGTTTGACCACGGATTGATATCAGTTAGAGAACCATTGAAAACCACTAGGGAGTACCGGACAGCTGTTTCATCCTAGTTTGAGAATCATCAGAAGTACACACCTACCAACGTTGTTCGAACCCAAGACATTCCAGTTACAGGGCAATCTGCAATACCATTCAGCCACTGGGACCGGATTCAATGGCCAGCCCATGAATTCTAACTTCTACCAATTCGTGATTTAGCGCGACCACCAACCAATGTCATCGGTGGGACATCCATCCTCACATTTGACTGGATGGACCTCATTGGTCATGACTTCTCACTAGAACTCCAGGAAACTCCGTCCTGTAGCAAGTCACCTTGGAAAAAATACAAGTTGAACGACTGAACGGCCTCTACATAACAACCTCTTCCTTTAAAGTAATCTACAAGGCAGAAAACTAACTTGCCCAGATCACTACCTATCCGAATCATCTATGCTGTTGGGACTTTTAGCCATCAAAATAGAAAAGCCAGATGTTTTTTTGTAAACAGAAAAAGTTTGTTCAACCCGTCCAATTCTCAAGGTTCTGATGTGACGTGTGCTACTGATAAGATTTATCAGTAGTATGAAAAGAGACGTTCATTTGCAGACAAAAATTGCAAAAATAGAGAAGAGATAGATTTGATGTCAAAGAGAGCAAATGAACCAGCGTTGCAGAAAGACATGGGAGACGTGAAAGGAACACAAAGAAAAACAGTACGAAGGGCAGAAGTATCAAGTACAACACGGAAGATCTGTGCAAATGACGGTTTGAAGATAAGGTATACATAATCTCGTTATATATAGAGAGAGATACCAAATTCCAAATAAACATTCCTTTACCAAGTCTCTGGTCTTCTACAGTTACACTAATCCACTTATGTCAAAGAAATGGTAATCCCCATTCATACTTTGGTCCTATTTATTTCTCGTTTTCTTTTTTCAACCTGTTTTTATGTTGATTGTCATTACTAACTTCACTTTGAACAATTTCCAGTATTATCTCACTTGTCACCTTTATTTATTTAATTGAATGTAATTATTTTTGTGATGATGTCTTATCACGATTACCATCAACTTGTTGCGTAATGTTTTCATTGCTTACTGATCTTAATATCTCTTCACCGGCTCCTTTGAGATTTATACATTTCATGAGTTACTTTATTAAGTATCAATTATTTTTTGTCACAATTCATATCATTACCATATGTTTTCAAAGATATGTCACTAGGATTGCAAGTTTTGGACAACGATTACGTAATCCTGGAGGTGTGAGTCGGTAGTACAGAGGTAGAATGCTCGCCAACCACGCAGGTGATTCGGAATTCGATCTCCGGTCGACTCACTTCCGAACCTCCCTAAGCCAGTTGTAAAACTGGTAAAGAGGGAAGGTTGGGCACGAATGAGGCTAGCAACCCATCCCGTAAAAATCAATATCACTGCTACTGAAACTTTAAAGCTATAACTTGTAGCCCTATGTTCCACTGGGAATGTAAAGGAATAAAAAAAATATAGGTGTCAACCGGGTAAAAACCAAAATAAAATTCAGTGAGTCAATTGTGTAACGTAATGTAATGTAGCTTAATGATGGGATTCAGAAGGACTTAACTAAAGTCGAAAAAGAGTCAAGATCAGTATTATAAGTATTATAAGGAGTAGAAATGTAATAGTAAGGGGAAGGGGGAGAAAAATAACAATTAAGAAAACTAAAACATTTAGGATTCACAATAAAATTTTGTACCGAGTATTAACACAAATTAGGTACATTGTCCGTTCAGTGACTAAACGGACAGACTTCATGATTTAACATGTGGATTGCCATGACTTATGTATTGTTTGAATAAGTTTTATTTGTGCCGCTTTGTAAGATTTCCACGTACTATGTAGATGACTATAAAGTTGGTTTGTCAGTTCGCTCGGTTTCCCGATTCGATCAGGTATTCCAGAATAGAGCTACAGACGGGGATGTTTTTTTCTCTTTTATAAAACCATGAGAGTAAGTGTACATTTGCATAGCGAACACTGAGTACGGCTGAAAAGGATATTGCTCTGTTATTTCACGATATGTTGGTCAAGTTCAAGTGTCAAGTGACAAACAAAACAAAAAAACTCCCTGCAAAGCAAGAATTTAAAACTCATAATGAACCGCATGTACTTGAAAACTTTTCAATTATTATTTTATTGTTAAAGTTAACTTGAATGTCCAAATGACTGATTTATATTGCACCGAATCTTTCAGTTTCTGCTAACATTTCGACACCCAATAAAGGAGCTTCGATGATATCCGAAGATTAACATGAAATAACTAGCACGGGAATCCAGGATAAGCATATCATCTTATTTGGGACTTGTCATCTAAGGGCACCTTCATCTCTAGTGACTGGTTGTGGTGGTGGTGGTTAGAATATATACACATTCTGGATTCTACCCGTTATTCACCATCAACCAAAATAACATTTCTTAATGAGTATCAACGTCAAGCAAAATATTAATTCGCGTCATCCTGGAGAGATTAAAAGATGCACTGAGTGGAAAACCTCAACCCGGAACAAGCTGGATTCAGGAATAGCAAATTATGCGTGGATCAAATTGCAACTCCATACATTATCATTAAGCAAAGCATACTAAAGCAGTCAAATCTCGACCTATCCACAACGGATAATTCAGTAAAGTCTTTAAAATAAAGACAGAAAGGAGTAAGACAAGGCCTCCTACTATCACCGTTGATATTCCTGATTGTAGTGGACTGGATTATGAAACAGGCCATCCGCGGGGAGACAGAAGACAAAAATACGTCGGGCCGATAAGAGAACTCTAGAAGACCTGAATTTTAAGGATGATTTGTGTCCA